GTCGGTCTTTGTTCAGGGCTTCACCTTTGGGGTGAACCAGTTCTTGTCTCAGGGTATTGCTGGGGTTGAAGGGCACAGGGATCCGATGCTGGTTGAAAATCCTCCTGAGACTCCAGCAACATCTGGAATAATGATGTTCCTTCTTCTGTTCTCTTCCTTCTCATTAGACCTCTTCTTGTTGGTTTTTAGAAAAGCCCATCTGGGATAACCAGTTCTTCAGGGCTTTCCTGATATGTCCCCACTTTTCAAACTATTTGCAGAGCGTTTGCACCTCTCTGCTAGCCTGGGTGCCATTCCGAACTTAGTCCCGCCCACAACGTTTGAGGTCGGGAAGTTCGGTCTGGCATTGCTCCATAGTAGCGCGAGTATGCAAGCACAATATCTGGCGGGCCAATCAAATTGTCAGGGCGGGCTTTATACGATGATGGACAGATGATCAACAGTAACGTAATCAACCACGTGACCAAAGCGCGCTTGGGTGACAACAACAATGGCTGCCGCTGGAGAGTTGAGGTGAGTAGATTCTGCTATTAGGTCTGTTCTAGAAGATATCGACAGCAAATTAATTTTAAAAGAGGAACAGAGAAACGCGATCAAGGCTCATCTTCTTATTCTAGGCGTGCAACTGCACGCTTTGATTTTTGTTGACAACAACTATGCCTCGCTTAACTTACGTCACGCACTCTGTTGCTCTTATTGGTTGTAGGTCTATCCAGTTGAGTGCAGAGGCATTTTTTTTCCTGGTTCGTTCGAAACACGCCCCATAATCACAGCTCTATGGAGCAGCATCAGACTCATTCTGACTAGAATTGAGTAGGACTACGTCAGGCTACCTCTCTGCTACCATTTCCTTGGTCTTCAGGATGTTAAAAAAGATCCAAAAAATATTATCCTAAAAGTCAGATCAATACAGAGATGAAATTACACTTTGTTTTTTTTACATGCTGATTCTCGTTTTTTCAACGGTTTTGAACACGAAAATTGATTTTTCCTCATTTTACAATCATCCACATCTTTTTATGCAAAAAAAAACACACAAAAAATCCTGTTAATAATATTCTACAGCTTAAGAATATGCTTCAAGTTAAAGCGGTGTTATTATACCTGCAATTATGTCTGTATTACAACTAGAAACATTACATGAGATAAAAAGCAGGTATAGATCATAGAGCTGCTGTTCTTTTATATAGATCGCCTTTTTAAGTGTGATTTAAAGTCTTCAAAGCAAAGATAAAGATTTTTCAACCTTATTTAGACTGAAAGAAAAGTAAAAAACTTGTATTTTCTTTTGTCTCCACTGCTTGTAGAATGATTAAATTTATCTGAATGTTTAGGAAAGTTCACATTTTGCTTCTCTACTTGTTTTAATTTTATATTCTGGCTCCTTTTCCTGCAGTTTGTCTTCTATGTGTTGCAGGGTATAATACTCACTTGATCCTGTTGATATTGAATCTAATTGTTTTGATCAACTGCATTAATTTAGTTTGGTTTGGGGTGTGGAAGGAATGATTTGGGTCGTTTGTCTGGAAGAGGGGTGTGTTGGCGCCATTATCAAAAGAGTCCACTAGGGGGACTAGTGCGCTCTTCTGCATATTCAGTACAAAAGTGAAAGCGCACTGGTTTCATCCCTGCTGTTTCTTTTTTTACATTTTGTCCTTTTATAAGGTAAGAAATTATATGTAACTCTCAGGAGAATAACATGTAGATAAATGTTAGCCCTGTATGCGTGAATTTGTTTGTATTTAGTTCATAGTGTTTTAAACTTATATGTTAATACTGTTTAGCTAATTAAGCTAGCTCTGTTGCTAATGGCAGTAGGCCTCGTCTTCCGATTAGCAGTTTGATTTGTTTGAATTGTAATTATTACTTGTGATTCTTATAGACTACAAGCAGTGTAATTTGTATGTATTAAGTTCATAGTGTTTTAAATTGATGTGTGAATACTGTTTGGCTAATTAACTTAGCTCTGTTGCTAACGGCAGTTGGCCTGGTCTTCCGTTTGGCAGTTGGATTTGTTTAAATTTTATTATTGCTTGTGACTTTTATATAGTACAAACAGTGTACTCTCTTTTTTCATCATTAAGGATGAGTATTGTAAGAAATTAGATTTCTGTGTTCTGCTCTTCTGTATGTACGGAGACCCACTGATGACATGGTCAAAAAAAAATTTTAATTGTGGCCATGAAGTAGTATTTCGTGCGCACGAAATACTTCTTCGTGGCCACGCATTAGTTTAACGTGCGCACGAAATACTACTTCGTGGCCACGCATTAGTTCAACGTGCGCACGAAATACTTCTTCGTGGCCACGCAATAAGTTTAACGTGCGCACGAAATACTTATTAATAATATTAATATTATTCCTGGACAACTGGGTAAGCAAATCGAGCGCGCCTTCTCTAAGGTCCAGTAGAGAGGAGGATCCTGACGTCTTCTTTTCTGATAGAAATACCGTGTTGTTTACACTTTGTAAACATCCACCGGTAACCGTGATCATTCCCAGGGCCTTGCAGTTGGTCAACAATGAAACCTATCCTGCGTCCAAGTCGTACCTTCGCCGGTAAAGCAACCTGGCTCTCAATATCCTGTTTAAATGTCTCTCGGTAATGACGGTTCCTTGCAATGCCAGGCTTTTCAGAATGTCTTTGTAGCTCATTCCCGGCCTAAAATGAAATTCTATCATACGGCCCCCTTCCATCGGGGAGCTTTAGCCTCTCTAATGCCTCTACCTTAGACCTTAGAGAAGGCGCGCTCGATTTGCTTACCCAGTTGTCCAGGAATTATATTAATATTATTAATAAGCATTTCGTGCGCACATTAAACTTATTGCGTGGCCAAGAAGTAGTATTTCGTGCGCACGTTAAACTAATGCGTGGCCACGAAGTAGTATTTCGTGCGCACGTTATACTTATTGCGTGGCCTCGAAGTAATATTTCGTGCGCACGAAATACTACTTCGTGGCCACAATTAAAAACTTTTTTTGACCATGTCATCAGAGGGGCTCCGTATGTATGTTCCATACAAGAGTAAGTAAAAGCGCACTGGTTTCATCCCTGCTGTTTCTTTTCTTACATTTTGTCCTTTTATAAGGGCTAACATATGTGAACGCTTTTACCTGTGAGGCAGAGACCTGCATAAACACATTAACACCTGCTAGGATAGAACTAAAGTTATCAGAGGCACCACCGCTCAGGTAGATTGAGCCTCGAGCTGCAAAGTATCTGAAGCCTGCGACCCGCAGCCGTTTCCAACCTTTTGTGCCGTTAACTGTGACAAACTGTGCTCTGCTTTTTAAGGTTTAGGTTTTCTTATGATTCAGTCATAATATTAGGACTTTTTACTCGTAATTTTATTACTTTATTCTCATAATGTTATTCTCAAAATAGAAGGAAAAAAAAATCCCTAGCCTGGCCCTAATACTCCGTCATATTCACTAAATAGCGCACCACCGGCGTGACTTTCTGAAAGCCTGGTGGGGACAATCCCCACAAATAATTTCCACTTTTTCCCCCTTTCCGCTAATGTAGCCAAAGGTAGCAGAGTTGGGTGCAGCTATCTGTATTCAGAGCGTTTTGAGTCGTGTTGCAGTATCCCGCCTCTTCTTGGGATCTGTCACTTTGAGACATTTGATTTGCGGTCGCATTTCATTGACGTATAAAGTAGCTACGTGGAGATGGAGAGATACATAGCAGCACTCGGTGAATATTAACCAGCAGCTACTTTGATATTTAAGTAAAAATTAGGGGACGGGTTGGTTAAAAAAATTTGAGATGCCACCGAAAAATCATGGCAACAGATTGTAAGTTTATAAAAGTTAGTACTATAATGTTTCAAATTAATGTATGACATTTTCTATACATTAATGTTTTTGGGCCCTATAATGTGTATTATCAGTGTATTATGGTTATCCTGTATTCTCAACAATAGGAAAGTATTCAATAAATATGTCATGATGTTTTTAAGAGATCTGACCCACATGCAGAAAACCGCTCAGAGAAACCAGAGTAAACAGTTAACAGGTTTATTGAGGAGTTCAAATGAGTTGGATTCAGGGAAACTCAGAGAGCTGGTGAACTGGAACTGGAAGTGAGAAGGGAAGTTCACAGAGGTTAGTTCAGGGTCCGTGGGAACTTTGAACGACGTCTTGCAAAAACAGAGATAAACGGGACTCATGTTTACGGAGAAAGGTTTCTTCCCAGAATCCAGTCGGTGTGGGTTTTTCCGGAGATAGAGGGGCTCGTTGGAGGGCGGACAGGTTTTGGTTTGGTTGGTTCATGAGGAGCAATGGAGCGGACTGCCACTTAGATTTCTAGGAGAACTTGAACGGGACGTATGGAGATTAATCCCCTGCTCAGTGTAAAACTCAAACAATCCTTCCAAGGGGAGAAGGCCAAACATCCATTATGCAGGATGACTTCCTGCCGAAAGGCAAAAGACAAAAATCATGTTAGATTCAAGAAACAAAGACTCAGTTAGACTTAGCTATACTCAGCTTGGCTAGAGTACCCAAAACTGGCAAACACTCTTGCGTCGAGGTAGTGGCAGTCCACCGCTTAAGAAGTCCTCAGTAATGAGCCAACCAGCCGCAGGTGTGCAGGAGGACCAACGAGGACAGGGCACCACCTGGTGGTGGAGGGAGAGAAAAACACCAAAAACACAATCCACACAGACTCGATTCCTAACAAAATATATGTTTGAGGTCATTTTTGGAAAATACAAAAACTTTAATGAAAGCTTTGAGGTTTAGTAACTGTCCCCGCCAACTTTCATCCCTAAGTTACACCCTTGTAGAACAGCAACAAATTCAAAATTCTTTAAAAAAAAATGTAACATCATCAGAGACGAACCCTTGGACAGAGTATAGTGAGAAAGCAGCGTCATATTAAGGAAAGACAACAAGGGTTATTCTGGAGAGTTAAGGGAGATCAACTCTCCAAAATATTGGTGGGCGGTTTTTATACAGGTGATAATCAAAGTGCATTCTGTGTGTTCTACTTCTAGGCACAAAGTTTTGGTGCCTTCTGGACATCGTGCCCATTAAGAATGAGAAGGGAGAGGTGGTTCTGTTCCTCGTGTCCCACAAAGACATAACCGACAAGAAGATGGAGCAGGATCCAGAGCAGGGGCCTGAAACTGGTGAGTAAAAAAATATTGCAACTACTTTTTATACACTTCTGGGCTCCGTTTCATGAAGCAGGTTTACAGAAAGCTCTAAGTTTTCTAAACCTGAAAACAGGGAAACTGGTTTTCCGGTTCATAAAGAGAGTTTAATCAACCTCTGTTTCTGTTGCCATAGTAACATTCCCCCAGAGCTAACCTGGTCAGCAGAAGGTTTTCTTTTGTTTTGTTTTTCCTTACAGCCAAATACTCAGACTTTTGTTGTAGTTTTGTTTAAAAAAAATTGCAAATTAGACACGTTATGTCATGAAGCGAGGACAGAAGGACCCAGTATTCAAGGAGAGACAGTCAGTAGGCAAGTTCAAAACGTTTATTTAATGAAGAACAACACTAAAAGGGGAGCTGCTATGATCTGTGGCACGGCAACTGTCCACTCTTGGACAGTCCAGTCCGAGAGTGTCCCCAGTGCTGCAGTCCCAGAGGTCTTGCAGGAAGCCGATCCTGGTCAGGGATCCAGAACAGACAGAACAGGCAGGATCCAGGCCTCATAGTGCTCCCAGGCAGGTTCAGAGTCCAGCAGAGTCAGGCTTACTTGGATAAAAACTGAACCTCCCTGCGCACAGAGCCAAAAACCCAGAGGACTCAGCAGGTGAACAGTGAACAAGCAGGAGACGAGACAGACACAAAACCCTCCTTCCACTGGCCGCCAGGATCAAGGACAAGAACCTTGGCATCAACATGACAGACAGGCTAACAGAAAAACAAATGATGATCTGGCCCTGAATGCTCAGGCTGAACAGAATATAAACCGAAGGAAACAGGTGAGAGGAATAAATGATAATTGAGGCAGGGAGGAAAAACGACAGGTGAAAGAAATATCCAATTAAGGGAGAGCAAACAGGCCAGATCATGACACGTTAGGCTGAAAAAACGAACAATGCATGTCCAGTAGACAAGGATCTTTTTAAAGAATGGTCGGCACTATTTCACAGAAAATTTTACATCTCAGTTAACAGGTGTTGTACTGAGAATGAGCTCCGCGGTCGCGGGAGCGTCCATCGTTCTAAACTCTCCCACATTGATGAGAGAATGAATAACAGTTAACATATTCTTAATGTTTTCATATTTCTTATGCATGGATGCCCTAAAATGGAGAGTTTTGGTGGGCAGATAAATTCGATGAATACAATTTTTACTTGTATGGAGACTCATTTTAGTCGATGTGCTACAGGCAGTGACCCATAAATATATTCTCTGCTCACTGGATGGCATTTCCCTCTTTTGACATCATTTTTGATAATTTGTTAAAGCTACAGTGTGTAATAATTACAGGGATATACAGTCAGAAATGTAATATATTATACATAACTATGCTATTTATCATCATCTACGAGCTCAGCCTCTTAACCTTAATATTTGCGTTGCCTTAGAATTCGTTATTTATAATTACATAGGAGCGGGTCTCGCAGCCATGGAGGCAGACATCTTTGCGCTACGGCAGCGCAGAGCCAACAAACTAGCGATTGCGAGATCGCCCATTACGCTCGAAAGTAACTAAGGCAAGTTGAGAGAGATTAACTGAGACGGTACTGAACAATAGATGGCAGTATTAAAATTATCTATGTAAACAAACCTCATCACTTGAGAAGGTAGGTGATGCGGACGTCGTGGAAGACATTTTGTCCCGTAACGCTCGCCGTACTGTTGGGGGGGAGAAGCGGTGGGGGGGAGATGTTCATGTTGCTGTGGTCTGCAGTCTGGACGTTAGATGTCGCTGAAAATTACACACTGTAGCTTTAAACTAAGAATCTGGAACCTGCCGAAAAATTCCTCCCCTGCCTATTTTACACAATATTGCCTCCCCGATAAAAAAAAATAAATAAATAAAATCATTATATTGCCTCAGATGCAGGAATCATTATGTCATCATTAAGTATCCAGTTTCTACCCCTGAACAAGTTATTTTTACTCTTTAGTTAAAAACACACATTACATTCAAATTGGTTCATAGTGGTGATTTGGAGCATTTCAAGTGATGACTTTAGCAAACGTCAAAGCTCAATAATATTTTATAACACACATTATGAATCCTGATACATGTGGGGATTAATGTGGAATTTTGAACTGAATCACACCAAATGATCCATCTGTGTACAGAAATACGTTTATTGGCCGAATCTAAAGCAGGCAGCAACACTGAGCAAAGTGTGCAACAAGTTTCCCTGCAACAGCAATGTAGATTAACTATTAACACAGCAGTGGTGTGAACAACCACACTGAGGGTCCCAGAGTGCCGCCAGTTGCAGGATTCTGCAGAGGAGCTTTGGACATCCACAGTAGAGCCAAAACGTCATGATTTTATCAAGAGCTTGGACCCACATGCAGAGAAACCAATTCAGAGAGACCAGGGGAAAAGGTTTAACAGGTTTATTGAAGAGATAATGCAGAATGAAGTGTTGCTCTGAACACTGCTCAACCTGAACTGAAAAGTGAGAGGAAGACACAGCGGTTAGTTCAGGCTCAGTGGGAAATTTGATTTGTGAACTTGAAGAGGAGGATTTGGTTGCCGACTCACATTTCCAGAGAAGTTGTCGACTCTTTGACTCCAGACTGTATGCTGTAGTTCCAGTGTTTGTCTGATTCGGTGGAGGGCGGAACAGGGTTTACCCAGAATGCGGTTGTTTGTAGGGGAACGGAAAAGCTGACTGCCATTCAGATTCCCTGCGGTACTTGAACGTGTTGTAGTGGAGATGAATCCCTTGCTCAGTGTGAAGCTCAAACGATCTCTTAGGGAAAAGTAGATTCAAACTTCCAGTAAAATCCTTAGCTCAGTCCATAGCTCAGTTGATCCTTCCAGGGAGAGAAGGTCCGAAACATCCAGTTTGCAGGATGACTTCCTTCCGAGAGGCAAAGACAAAAAACAAGATCAAGACCCAGGTTGACAAGAACGAGGTAACTATCTGCAGGTGTGTGAGGAGGCGGACCAGAACCAGGCGCCACCTGGTCGAGGAAGGGAGACAAACACAGAAACACAAACACACAGACAGGAATCCTGACAAAACAATATGTTGACGGGACATATGATCATAGGTCCAGGCATACGGTATCTGCTGATCCACTAAAGGCTTTGATATTAAATATGTGGTTATTATCTTCTATATACAGTTGCAGCCATTCGAAATGGGCCTTCCCAGTCAAATGCCAGCCAGATGGCAGCCCACTTCCTTACAACTCCCAGCAAATTGCCCTCAAACTTCCAAGCACTTGAGTGACCCCTGTTCAATGAATTACAGGGTCTGACCAGGAGACCATTCTCTTTAGATCTTCTACTAATGTAGATAAAAGAGAAGACCATGCTGCTGAGCTAGTGGAGGTTGTAAGTAGGGGTGTAAATCACATCCATAATGGCGATTCGATTCAGTATCGATTTCCTGACCCAACGATTCGATTATTTTCGATTCTCAAGAATACACCACGATTCGATTCGATTAATCGATTAATCGGTTAAATTTTTTCTTTATTATTATTATATTTTTTTTTACACCTTACAGGCTAAACAAAGTTTCAAGTTTGAAATAAATCAATGAAAGCTGTAATATCATTATGCATTTTCTTTAGAAACAACAGCAAATAACAGAAGTAGAAAAGTTGCATCAAAAAATACTGCAAAAATACTGCACAATATCAGTGTAATGAGTTCAATGCAATACCTCGGCTCCAAAGAAACTGTCCAACATATTTTTTTAGAATGTAATAAATATACTCAGGAAAGAGAGATGTTGTGTAGAGAGTTGGACAGGAATAAAAATAAACTAGATATAAGGGAATTGTTTCAAAGGTAATCTGGGGATGTAGTTTTTGGGAGTGTTTTTAATTTTCTAAGAAGAACGGGTATTTTAGGGAGAATATAATAGTTTGTCTGGTCCATACTCCATTCTGGAAGGTGGGGGTAATGCACCTATAAGTTGTTTGCCAACCGCCATTAAAAAAAAGAAGAAGAAGAAGGCTCCAGTGTGTCGACGTCAACGCTCCCTTGACAGACGCTCCGCTGCTCCTCTCCCAGATTGTAGCTGACCGCAAACAGTGCAGCAGACAGGAGGCCGGCTTGTTTTGTTTTTATGACCGAAATTGCGGAAAACAACTCGTGAAGTCTGACCCGCTAGAAGAGCGAGGTGCGCGAGAACGCTGGGACCCTTTTTCCAGCTGGATCTCCGCTCTTTTTGGCCCTCATGTCCCTCCGTCGTCGGACTAAACTCGTCCCCACTTCCTCACCGCCTCGGCCGTATCTAGACCCACAGCGTGTAGCTCAGACCACGCTTTAATATTGAGCATAAATCAAAAATGTCTGTGTAAAGCTCACTGCAACACACTGCTGTAAGAGTATAACCAGGAAGCAAGGTAGGAGGGCAAAATAGGTTTAGCGGCACCGCAGCACGGGAGGAAGAATTACGCCCAGGAGCAACTGGATAAAAATAGACCGGAGGAAAAAAAAAAACATGAATCGATTATCTTGCAGACGTATCGATGCATCGGATCGTCGGCTTTTGGATCGATGCATCGATACAAAACGATTATTATTTACATCCCTAGTTGTAAGTCTGTGGGGGGATCCTGGGACATCTCTGTGTCTGCACCCAGGATCCCCCCCAGGTTGCTCTGTGTCACGTGGTCTGGAGCCTGGAAGAGGAGGGGTACGTTCATTGTATTTGTCAAATTAACCTGGGCTCCATCTGGGGAGGTTCTGTAGATAATCGATATGTAAAAGCCTCTTTGCCACTGAAAAAAGCAGATTAACGCGTGTTTTTCAAACATGGATCGACCCGCTAACGATTAGCATCTGGCTCCCTCCCACTGGCAAAAACAGCTGGTTTAACCCCTCTGTCTCCCCCGTTGCTGCGTGTCTGGTGACATCAACATGCTGGGTTAGTGTTGATGATGTCATCAGAGCGACAGAAATCAGGGAAGTAAACAATGGAGGGCATCATGCCAGGGCGTGGTCAGTGTGCTTTATTGTTTCT